TTTTCTTTTTTATCTTTTTTTTCGGAACGATAGGATTTCTCATAAAAAATTTGAAAGAGTACAATACGGCGGATTCACTAATTCGATTACATCACTAGCATGGAGGAACACTTGCAATCAATACCCTATAAACTACACAATAAAACTAACCAGAATGACAGACAAAGTGAAGTCACTTGAGCACCTTCATCCTAACTCAAACAAAAACATGAAAAATAGATAAGCTAGAAGAGACTGGTGAAAACTGAACCAAAGGACCTAATCAACAATGCGTTTCTAGTTTTAGTTCTTTGAAAGCTTGCGATTTTTGAATTCCATCCACTCCCGCCAAGCATTGTCCACGATCATTTTCGCAGGCAGCCATTCATTTCGAAAAACCCACAAGTTTCGAGCCTTCCACAGCCACCAAAGGATATAATTAGAAAGTTGGATACGGGATTCCGAGATATCTACTTTGTTGAGCTCCGAGATCCTCCACCACCAATCATTGACGTCCCCTGTTTTCTGGCCACAGAAATCCCAATCCAATGCAGAAATATTCCAGACCTGAGATGCTCTAGTACAATGAAACAGAGTATGCACAGTACTTTCCCTCTCATCACCACAGCATTTGCAAAGTTCACCAACTTCAATTCCACACTTCATAAGAGTGTCTGCAACGGGTAAAGTACCGGTGAAACACTTCCACACAAAGTGTTTAATAGAGAAAAGCTACTTTACTTTAAATTTTTTTCGAAAACATTTATTTTCTAAGGCTACAGCGAAACCTCTTTAAACTTGCGGAACTACTTTACTTTAAAACTTGTTTCAATTTACGGGCAGGATCCATATCACTATTATGCACCATAAGTTTGCATGTATTTTATTGTTGCCTGAATTTCTCCAAATTAAGCACAAATTCACTTAATAATTCAATCTATCTATATATAAAAAGGTTGTTGGTTAAATCTTTTTTGGAAACTTTTGACCAAATAAATAATACCTTTGACATTCTATTTATAGAAAGTTTGAAAACAATAATGGTGTAGTTTTTTTTACGAAAAATCACAATTTGAATTCAAAATTAGTGGTGTAGAAATAATATTGGAACAATAATATGTGGATAACTTATGATGGAATCTGTGTATAACTAACTACTAATCTAAAAAGATTTTGATAAATCTTCACCAAACATTTATTTGATAAATCTTTGGATAACTAAACTATTAATCTAAAAACATTTTGAAATGGCTAAGCTTATGTATTAATATCACAATCCAAGAAAAAAAAAGCATAAGTGAGCCCATTTATTTTTTTATACTAAAATAAAGAGATATTACTAAATATAATTTTTGTTTAATTTGATGGATAATATCAAATCACTCCAAATTTTAATAATGTACGCGAATATCATTTCAAATATTTAGATAATATCATTCTAACGCTCCAATCATCTAATATCGAGATATTTTTTTCACCTATTAAATTAACACTCAATTTGCCTATAAAAATAACATACACACTCTGAGTTGTTATTGTATCCCCACTCATAAAAAAATCGAGCAAAACATAAAGAACAAATAGATATTTTGTGTTGATGAGAAATCATGATGACTCATCAAGCAAAACACCATGAAAACTCTACGCAATCCAACTCTTTTAAAGGATAAATGTATTTTTTTCGAGCAAAAAGATATTGAAAAATGATATTTTTGTTATTATGAGGTACTAAATTTATGGGTATTGAAGTCGAATTTTAGGTTGATTTGTTATAAAATCAAGGTAATATGTTTCTCAAATTTTAGCATATTTCTATAATAACTTGCCATAAAATATTAATGGTAATTTAACAAAATGGTATGTATTCCTCTTGAAAATCATAAACATCTTTGAACAAATATTGATTAATAAAATTTAAAAATTAACTGACATCAACTCTAGAAAATTGTGAGATAATATGTATATAAGGGACTTTATATATAAGGGAATATATATATATAAGGAAATTTATCGTATAATTCAAATTTGGGTTTCAAATTTAAAAGTCAAATAAATAATTTTTCATAACTTACGTGTCAATATTAACTTAGGCATAAATGAAATAGTCAATTAATTAAAGTTTAATAAATTACTCAACAACTTAATTTTTTTTTTTATTTTGATAGTTTATACAAAATTAAATTCATTTTAATTAATGAACACTATAAGTTTTATAATTGTACTTATTATTCACATAGATTTTTAAATATATGATAAAATTTTACCAAAAAATTATTTTATGGAATCACATTTTAGTCCAATCGAATTTCTGAATAAATATTTTAAAATGGCACTTATTTTGAAATAAATATAATGTAATTTATTATCAGTTACGTGCACCATACGAGTTGTATACTAATTAAATTGACATGTTTTATGTAATGCATGATATAAAATTCATATAACATTTTCAATAAATTAATATAGATAAATGTATTACATATTTATTCAATATTTTTAATTTATAAATATTATCTAATAATTATTTTTAATTTATAAATACTAATAAATATCTCTTGGGATTCGTACTAGTTTACAATAATATCATCCAACGATTTTGTTGTGTAATTAAGATTTTATCAAAATATTTCCGAATTCTCCGAATCAATAGGTGCATAAACAAAATGATGACAAATATTGTTTATTTTCCGCTTTGTTTCCCTTTACCGACATATGCACAAAATATTCCCGAAATAAATATCTCCACTGGCACTCGCAGGCTAATGTTTTGTGCCCATCCGTTTTGGACATTGACATTGACATTGACTAAGAACAACTTTGTTTTTTGGGGGCCTCTTGGTGTTACAGTGTTCACGGTTCGGGTTGGCCTGGTTTTAGCCCAAACCATGATCAAATCGAACTTAACGGTTAATTTTTTTTCTTGGGTTTTTTTTATTTTTTATTTTTTTTAATCAACCACAATCCGGACTGTATTGAACGGTTCGGTTTGGCAGTTAACCGGTTAAATCCGAAATCCTTGTTTTGGGCTTTCAATTTTTAATTTTTTCATTTTGGGCTTAACTTTTATTTTTCAATTTTGGGCCCAAAAGAGGTTATTTGGGTCTAAATATTAAGAAAAAATAAAAAAAAAAAAATACACAATTCGTCCCATAAGCATAAAAATACACGTTTCGTGACTTTCTTGTTTGAATATATATATTTGTTATAGTTTTTTAATATTTACCGATCCAATCCGGTTAAACCGGCGGTTTGCCGCAGGTAATCCGTTAACCAGACCGGTTATTCTGGATTTTTAAAAAATTAATCACCGGATTTTTTAAGGCTTTTTTAACCGACCATTTAACCTATCCGCGATCCGAATTGACAATTTTTTCGGTTAAAACCGGACCGTGAACACCCCTACTTGGCGTTGCTCCTGGATTAAATAAAGCATTATATTATTATTAAAAAAACATATTTTTCTTTTATTATATACTTTCATTTTCTGAGTCATTTTTCAATTGAAAAATACTATAAGTACATAATCATTTACATAAAAATGTACATAATACTCACATGGAGTCCTACCAAAAATAAAAAATCAAATGGACCTCATAGTGTTATATGCACATTTGACGTACTTGTAGCGTTGCTCTTTCCAGTTTTCCTATATATCTCTTCGCCTCCACCCAAACTCTCCCACCGCTCAAAATCTCCAAAGAACAAAGGACCATAGAGAAAAAAAGAAAAAAGAAAAACAAATAACTGGCAAAAATGGCGTCCAACCCGACCCCAGATTCCAAGCCTTCCCTCTACCTCGAGAACATGGTCGAGGTCCGCAAGGTCTTCGAGCGCTTCGATGCCAACAACGACGGCAAGATCTCCGCCGACGAGCTCCGCGGAGTCCTCACCGCCCTAGGATCCGACACCTCCCCCGAAGAGGTCGCCCGCATGATGCAGGAGATCGACACCGACAAGGACGGCCACATCAACCTCCAGGAGTTCGCCGCCTTCTGCAGCGGCGACGCCGATCCTCACCGCTCGGCGGAGAAGGAGCTCCGGGAGGCCTTCGAGCTGTACGATCAGGACCACGACGGTAGGATCTCGGCAGCGGAGCTCCACAAGATCCTCACGCGCCTCGGGGAGCGCTGCTCCGAGCAGGATTGCGCCGGCATGATCAAGTCCGTGGATTCCGACGGGGACGGCTATGTGTGCTTCGAGGAGTTTAAGAAGATGATGAGCAACAACAAGGACGCCAAGTAGAAGGCGTCTCTTTCCTTTTTTCCACCCATTAGCGGTTACGTCTCCCCTATCTCTTGACTTAATTCTAACCGTAAGAACCTGCAGGTTTTATGATCAATTAATAAAATAGTGGTGATTTGCTTGGGGAATTTGTATGTACGCTTTTACCTTTTCGAATCCTTGCTACTCTTGAACTAAACGTATATGATTGTAGAAGCGGAATTCCTGATTTCAGGTACCATTTGCTTTCATGCTGAATTGTGTGATGCCTAGTATAATTTTCGTGTTATATTAGATCACTCATTTTCTGTATTATACTCTGATTCAGTTATAATGATGGTTCAAGAGGTGGAACAAAATGCGTGAGATTTCGTGATAATATATGCAAACAATAATTCATTTGTGTGATACTTAATTAATCTCAAGCATCAATTGAGATTTCTGGGAAGCGAATAGTTGTTGGCCTTCAGAGTGGGTCGGGTTGTATCCTGCTATAACTTGGCTATGTTGTGTTTTTGTAGTATGGAAACATAATAAGTTAGAGTCTTAATAAATTGCTAAAGTTATCTTGATGTAAGATCCAATGCAGTATTTACAGGAGTTAGCCGAGTCACGTGGATGATTGTCATCCATATTTAGTGCACATACTATTACACATGCTGTTTTGCTAGTGTTTTTGTCGAGTTCGGACATGGACATGATCCATATAGCTCGAGTTGTTAAGTCGATCAAGTCTAAACATATTTTATAAAGGGTGCATAATCTCGTTTGATGTCTGCTATTTAAACTTGATATGCCTACATATGCAGACTCAGTGGTATATGTCGCTGGTTGTTGGGTCTTTCTTATTAAACGGTTCAGTTAATATTTCATTTGTGTCTGCATTTGTCCATCACTGAGGAAAGGATATCTTGAGCATGAAATAATCTAAGCTCAGTTTATCATATGCTTCTGGCTCTTAAGGTTTTCATTACATCAATTCCCTTTTTAATCTATTATTAAGTCCATAATATTAGAATAAAGCGCTCAGAGCTTTCGTATCAAGTCCTAGTATGACAAACACTCAATGAGTTGTCACCAATGAGCTTTTTTGGGGGGTTTTTAGGAAGAAATCAAGCTTTCAATTAAAATTACTTCCTCTAACATTTCCCATTGTGGTAGGAAAATGAAGAATCAACCTAATGACCCTGGGGAACTTTCTTCTTATTTTAACATGTATGAAGGTAGCGAATCAATGGGAAATGTTTTTTTATTTTTGGTAACTATGGCGAAGACCGTTCTTTCTATAGCCATGAGGACTTTTACCTGCTCAAATTTCTCCCTCTGTAAGCTATACTGACTGCTTTATTTTATGGTTCGGGCATATATTCCCTTAAGCTATGGGAATTGGTATGTTGTTAAATTAAGGATAATCTAACTCTGCTCTAAATTGCTTGTTTTGAATTCTTGCATTTACAAGACCAGACCTTAAGATTGAGCGGTGACCGGTGTTACCCTTCTACTTAATTTATTTTATGCTATGTATTATCAAATTGTTTACCCTGCTGTTCCTCTTATACTTTATTTTTTGTATTCCTCCTATTGTTAATTTGTCCACTTGTTTTATGGGAAGTACGTTGGCCCGACAGAAATCTTAGCATCTTTGTTATATCTTAATAGAAGTCTCTGCACATTCTTAAGTTGGGTGAAAGTGATTGCTTGCTCTTTTCTTGTGGAAGCTGAGAATCCTTTCTTTGGTTTTCCATTTAAAAGTTAACAAACAGTCCCTATGTATTTCTGATCTGCTGTTTAGCTACCGTTTTAAGTTCCATTAATCAATGAATGTTAGTTACAGCTGAAATGGTAATGCCTACGGGAGAATGGTATGGAAAATAGTCGTGAGTAACATCACTCTTCTTTCATATGTTAATAATGATGTGTTAATTTGTATCGTTAAATTGCTTTTAGTGTTGCTGTAATGTGAATGGACGTCTACAAAAGGGCTTGTGCTTTCTGGCAAGTTTCACTCAAATCTTCTATATAGGCTCAAGATGCTATATTTCTCCTACTTTTTATTTTTTCCCCTTCCTTCGGAGTACTGAGACAAGATGTGTTCAGATTTTAAAATTACTTTACCTAAAGGACTATTCTGGTGTTTTATATTAGATTAATTACTTTTGGAATTGCCTTTGCGTGTTAGTTTGTTCTTCCCTAAATATTACTTAGGGAAACGGATGCTTTTGCCCTCAAGAGCCAAGTGTTGGTGGTACAACACGGCGTGGAGAAGAATGTATCTTATTGCCCCTTTTCTCCTTTCATTCTTTTCTCCCCATATTTCATTATTCTTTTCTTCCTTTTTTCTTTTGGATAAGTTGTAAACACGTCACATGATAGCTGTCGACATGCACGATGGGTAAAAAACTGAGATAATCAAAACAGTGCACGCGTAGAATAAGTGAGGTTCCAACTTAACTGCTAATTGCAAATTGTAACGTACGTAAATGAGTAAATTGGGTTTTAGATCCAAACTTTATCTGTATGTACTTGATATTTGGACATTTGCAATTTTAGTACCGCAAATTTAATATAATTGCAGATTCAGTCCTTGGTATCTACTCATTTGCAATGGGGTCGCTAGGATTATCTTCATTTATCTGTCGCATAGTTTATTGTATATTATTTTCGCACTTTATCAATTATCTTCAGATGTTTGTCGCATAGTGTATCGCATAACTATTGCGAAACTATTTTTCACTTTATCACTTATCTTCGACTGTCCGTCGCATAAATATTTCGCACTTTATGTCTGTAACATATTTTAGTTCATCGCGTAACTATTTCACACTTTATCAATTATATTATGTCTGTCACATATTTTAGTTTATCGCGTAACTATTTCAATCTGATGAAGTAGAGAGCACAGGTATGTACTACGAATATTGGAATTCATTCTTTTCAGCTACCAACAACTATTTTTAACAGCATCGCATATGTTCCACCATTTATACGAGTCAATCCACTGGTTGGGGAAGTCTTTATCACATAATCACATAGGCACACAGATACAACAAAGTTCTAAATAAATGCGAACGCAGAGTATTAAATCAACCAAGAATTTCAAAACAGATACCGAATCCTCATCTAAAACAACAGAATTTCCTGAATACAAACTTGTATTATTCCATCCCTGCCAGACTTAACATTCTCATTTTCTGTTCAACTCCAACTTGGTTACCCAGTAGTCTAGTTGACTGGCTACGCATTCAGAGCCTGTGGATCCATACGAACTGAAATTTTTTATTGAGTTTTCGACTCCAAGAAACTCGTAAACGTCCTCGTCGAACACTGAGCTTATACTTCTGAGCTCTGCAAGAGTCAGATTTTGAAGTTGGCAGTTTCTTGAAACACACAAGGCAACAGCTCTACCGACAATATCGTGAGAAGTTCTAAAAGGTACTTCCTGCAAAAAGAACCAAATCAACTTCCTCAACAACTTCAGCAATCAAAGACCTACCACTCTTTGGATACAAATAGATAACAACATAACATACGGTCGATCCTGACTTTAGATATTGATCTACTCAGTTCATACATTTAAATTAGTACAGAAATCAGATCTCGTTTTCTTTCTGCAGTCTTTCAAATTTTCCTTATGGTGTCAGCAGAAGGTGCTTATGATATTCATAATCTCGTCTACCATAAAAAGAAAGACCTTTTGGAACTTAAGAAAGGGACATGATATTACCTTTTTCACAAGATAGTCTGCGAGTGTTGTTGCATCAAGATGACCAGCCGGTAGAGCATTTCTGATTCTCTCTTGGTTAAAGGTGATATTTTCTGCAAATTCTGTAGAAACTTCCAGCATACCCCTTATTGTTTTGGCACTGTCAAATACAGGTTCTTTATCTTCCTATTTCACGGCGGATAAAGTGTTATGGATTTCCACACCGACCTCAATATAATCAAGAGAATTTGGAATGCAGCAAAGAACTAGTTTGAAACACAAGTTACCATATAGCAGAATGATTGGAAAAACAGCTATCTTTCAAGTTCACAAATCAAACCTTATAAATTTGTTTCTTCTTACAAATATACCTAGTGTAGGGAACTCTAGTTAACCAAAAACAAACGAATTCAGTGGGGGTTTATTGTAATTTTATTATACAAGATTCATTTGAGTTATATTGACCTGTAAGTCTCGGTTGTAAGCATGAGGAAGACCCTTGCACAACACAAGAAGAGAAACCAGGTCCCCAATAACTCTAGCGGATTTCCCGCGGACGAGTTCCATTGGATCAGGGTTCTTTTTCTGAGGCATTATGCTGCTTCCAGTTGAAACGGAATCACTAGGCGTAATGAAGCCAAACTCTTCTGATGCCCACAATACCCATTCTTCACCAAGGCGAGAGAGATGGACAGCTGTGATGGAATTTGCAGAAAGGAACTCCAGAACAAAATCTCGATCTGAAACTGCATCAATGCTGATTCATTTAAAGACATGAGAAGCAAAATATTAGAATTCACTGTATGTCTCAATCACAAAGAACAAACCCCAAATCACAAGCTGAAGGGATACATAGATTTGAAGATTATGCAGTTAGGAATAGCATATGCGTGGAAGATTCCTTTGAACTTATACATAAAAAACAATCCATGCCTGTTTCTCATGGGGGCACCGAATCCCAGAGCCTCAGAAGTCATAAACCTATCAATGGGCAGGCCAGTGCCAGCTAATGCACAGGCACCCAAGGGACAGAAATTCAATCTGACACGACAGTCTAGCAAACGACCAGCATCCCTTTCAAGCTGCAACACATCATTGAACCATAGATAATGCAGATTTATAAATTGGATGTGTCACAAAATGAAGATGATTAGCTGGTCCTCCCAACCCACCAATTGAATAAACAACAATAAATAATTAAGTGAATTTTGCACTATGAATAAAAATTAAAGTATATAATAAACACAGTTATAAGAGAAAGGTTATTGGTGTTGGGTAGGGTACATGAAACAAATGTAGATACTAACGTAATTACTTTGTTATATTAACAAAATAATTGTACGAGCACAACATGGGCCAAAATACAAACTTCATTTATCAAGACCATAATACAAAATAAAAAACTTACACTCACACTCTATTTATCTAAACTTGGAACATACCTCACAGATTACATTTGGGATACAAGCTTGCTCTAAACTCACACACAGGACACACATTTTAGAGCACACACTCTTTAACACACTCACACTTGGGACACTACACAAATTAGAAGACTACTGCTGATTTATAGAGTGCCAAGTCAGTGCACTGAACCTACTTTGCCAGATAAATTCTAGGATTGTCCCATTATTTCTCAAGCCACTTAAATTATAATTAATATGCAGTTTGGTAAAATGTAGTAACCAAATGAAACTCCAAGACACTAGTTTCATCTGGAAGCTTCCTCATCAAGGAGGTGTTGAATCTAACAAATGGAAGGAAAGAAACTGTGATGCCAACCCAGTGCCAACATACATTTCTTTGTTGTTAGGAAAAGATCAAAGAATGTGAACAAAAAGCATATAAAGTCCTTCACCTCCTAACTCAGAACCCAACCCCAACCCCTATGTATGGATCTTTGTGCTGCATTGAAGGGAAAGCGGGAACACAGGAGGAACTAACGAAAAGTGGAAACACAAGGATATTCATGAAGAACAAAGAGAAGACCGTTATAGTATGAGAAGAGAGAAACGACATCATTCACAAGGACAACCATACCCACATTACACTTTCACAAGGATCATATGTACTTCAATGTTCAAATTGAGAATTTATAGGTACAGGCTTCTCCTTTTCGACATAATTTATTTATTTCCTGCCCTAAGTAAATATACCATCATATCGTCTCCGGAAAGTAAGGAGGCCATAATCATATACAGTATACTTTGCTGAAACCAACCCACCTGCTCGACATATGCTAAAAGAAGATGAGCCAGAAGAACGGGTTGTGCCCTTTGTAAATGGGTATACCCTGGGACTATCAGACTCTCGTTCTTCAAAGCCAGATTCACCAATGCAACCTGCAGAATGCACAGCACACTTTTCCAACTCAGTCGAAGACGAGAAAATCCTAGACAGAATGGACACTATTAATTATTATGACTCGCAACCAATAGTCCAGTTGTTTTTTCTTAATCAAACACCCAGTTTGGAAGTCATCAGCTACAAAAATAATAGAGTTACCGCCCACATAAGGCCATAAGCTGAACGAAAAAACAAGAAAAAGAGAAGTCACAGAGAAAAAAATCACTTGAAGATGCTTAATACGAGCAACAATCCCGTCAATCGCGTCCCGACACCAGAGACGAAAGTCAGTACAGACTTGATCGTTCCTGCTCCGGGCAGTGTGGAGCTTCTTTGCAGGCTCGCCAACCAGGTCTGTGAGCGCAGCTTCAATGTTCATGTGTACGTCCTCCCTGTCCGTCCTCCAAGCGAAATCCCCTCTCTCGATCAGCCTCTCAATCTCATCGAGGCCTCTCAGAATCTCGTTCCTATCGCCTTCGGTAATCAATCCCTAGAAAACCAAAATCAGGCGCAACTCGGAGATAAAAACGACAGACCAACTCGCACGAGGCGCAGCTAAAATGCGCACACAAGATATAAAGCCATAGATTGTTCGGTTGTTCGGTACCTGAGAGGCGAGCATGGCGGCGTGCGCGCGGCTTCCCATGATGTCGTGCTTGTAGAGTGCCTTGTCGAATGAAATTGACTCGGTGAATTTCTCGACGGAGTCGGTGGTGCTGGCCTCAAACCGTCCTCCCCATAGCTTGGCCTCCTTGGAGCTCATCTGGACAGCGGCGACCGCGAATAGGGTCTTCCGGTGGATTTGGGGCTGGTATCGAGGCAACGGTGTGGAGAGAGGTTTGAGGAGTGAGGAGGAGAAGAGTGGCATTATGGTGGTTTCCGGCGTGCAGACTAACAATGACTTTCTTCATAATGCAGCTGCTGATACTTTAGGGCAAATGGGCAACACGGAGGAGGAGGGCCTTTCAGACTTTACACAACACAAAAATCAGTCAAAATAAGGTAAAGGATGTTAATTTTGACCCAATAGCATAGTTATGTTATTGTAAAGTATACAATATTTTGGTGGGTAATGGTTATCGGGCTCGATTCTGGTGGGACAGGTGGCTGAACTGTGATACTCCTTTAGTCCTTTGATAGGCTTCACGATGGCCTCGGTGCCGGAGGCTCTACTTTTCTCTCCGGTGACTGTCTATGTTACATTAGAGGGTGGGTGGAACTGGTCGTTGTTTCAACATTTGTTGCCGGTCACGTGTTGGTTCGAATCACAGCTATTCCACCACCGAATGTGCATGGCAGGGAGGACGAGCTGTTTTGGGGGTGGTTGGCGGATGGCCGTTTTTCCACGAAGTCGGCTTACTTGGCGCTAGGGCAGCCCTCTAGATGGCGGAGGGATAGGTTATGGAAGACGATATGGAAGTGGGTAGGCCCGCAGCGGGTTAGACATTTTCTTTGGCTCGCCACTCGGGAGAGTTTATTGACGAATGCTTCACGGCATCATAGACATATGGCATCGAGCCCAGCTTGCGGGATCAGTTGGGAGAGTGCGAATCCACGCTACACGCGTTACGAGATTGTCCTATGGCGACCACCACGTGGAAAAGGTTGCTCCCACGCAGCTTTTGGAGGGTCTTTTTCTCTCTGGATATTAGACGGTGGTTTTTGAAAAATCTTACCGGTAACTTAAATCGGACTCGCGATGATTGGGAGTCGATTTTCGGCCTTACGTTATGGAGACTATGGAGGTGGAGGAACATCAAGCTCTTCCAAGAGTCCGATGTATCCATTTCCCGGCGGCTTGATGAGATTTTCTCATACTCGGGTATGGTACGATGTGCCTCAACTGGGAGCCAGATAGTAGGTGCAGGTGGCGTGAGGGCGTCGTTGGATTTCGTGGTCGGGCCCGGAGATGAATGGGTTGAAAGTCAATATGAACGGAAGTTTTGATCCGTCGAAGGGAATGGCTAGCGCCGGCGGAGTCATACGGGATCATTTTGGGAATTGGGTGCATGGTTTCGTGATGAATATCGGGTTTTGCTCGATCGTTGGAGCGGAACTCTGGGGCTTATTTCAGGGCCTACTATTGGCTTGGGATATTGGTACTCGAAGGATTATAGTTGAAGTTGATAATAAGAACATTATCGATATGGTTCTACACGACCATCATAGCGGAATTGTTGACGGATTGTTGAGGGGTATAAAAGAGCTCTTAGACCGTCGTTGGGAGGTGGACATTATTCATGGTTATCGGGAAACCAACTTTGTGGCGGATTATTTGGCCTCTTTGGCGGCGAAATGCCCTGGCGGGTTGCAAAGGTTAGCGAGTCCGCCGCTGGGGGCGAGCATGTGGTTACGTCACGATAGGATTGGAGTAGTTTATCTTCGGAATGTTTTAATTTAGGCTTTGCGTAGTCTTTTTGTATATTAAAAACAAAACCATATAATATTTTAAATAATTGTCATATTTAAACAAACAAACAAACAAACAAAAAAAAAAAGTGTTTGTATATTTTTTTTCATGTTACGTGCCATCATACGTTAATTTATGGTTCATCTTTTTTACGGAAAACATACAATAAAATTTAATTAAAATAGTAATAAATAACCATTTATAATTATACCTTAACTAAAAAAGGTAAAGGTTTGAAGGAAAAATCATTCACCAGCCACTAATCTCATCTCGCTCATCTCGTTCAGCAAGAACCTCCGGAAGAGATGTTTTTATGATGTGAATTCTTAATAACTTATTTATGAGGGTTATATTTTTAAGAG